CAGGCCCGCCTGCAGAGCGCATGTGCTGGCGTGTGTGCACATGTGTGTGCACGTGTGTATGTCCTCTAAAAATTCTCCACTATATTCAGTGAATGTTCCAAAACAAGTTTCAAATGATCAAGAATTTCTTCAATGTAACTTCAATTTCTGAGTTACCTGTTAAGGACTTTAATTTTTTAATCTTAATAAGGTATGGAAGGGCTGTTCACTTAAAGGTAAAAATAACTAAATTGCACACTAAAAGTTTTCGTAATTCAGGCTGATCTTCCCCAGAATTCCAAGCCTTATGAACCCATACACCAAAACAATAGATTATAGCAGCGGAGTCCAAATCCCCAGCAGTGATAGTGACAGGGCACTCCCATTGCCTTGAACTTGGCTCAGGCTGAGGGCGGAAGGAGTAAGCGCCCCCGCATTCTAACAGGCCCCAGGGGCATCCGCGCGCGGCTTCCTGGTAGACACCCAGCCCTGGCGCAGGAAGGAAAGGGAGCACACATGCTGCTGGTGCGGGCAAAAGAACCAGAGAGAGGGCGGCCCGGAGGGCGGCCTGACAGGCACGGGGCCGGGAGGGGCAAGGGGTGCATCTCCGGGGGATCTGGAGGGGAGCTGTGCAAGGTCACTGGAGTGAGCCTCACCAGTGTCTGGGGACATTCCAGGAGGTGGGGATGGGGTGGGGAGGCATGTCTCTAAAGAACCCAAGAGACAGAAATATGCAGAAACAGGGAAATGGAGCACGCGAGAATGGTAGATAACAGCAGCTCCGGTGAAAAGAGATGTCACCCTTTCCTCTCCCCTGTCCCCATCCCCCACCTGGAGGGGCCAAAAGGAATAAGGGGTGAGAGGGGTGAGTGGAGGAGTGTATGGAGAGAGGAGAGCTGAAGGATCAATAGGCACTGCCCCTTCCCTGCAGCTGGTCTGCAGAATTGGGGGCAAGGGGAGAAGGGTTCTGCGTTGGCTCAACAGGGACATTTTGGTTAGACTGGTCCTGTCCCATAATGCCTAGAGCACGGCCTTTCTAGTACCCAGAGGAGGATGGCTACAGGGCCTGCCTGCCTGAGAAGCTGCTAAGAGGGGAGACAGTCCATTCCTGCTGTCACCCACCCACCTTCCAACGGTTGAGTGAAGTTGTGATGTGACTTTAAATTAAGGACAGACTTGCTACTTTAAAATACTGACAAAGATATTAAGTCCCAGGAGCACATGGATCTCCCCCCCCAGCCCTGAATGATACTGAAACTGAGAGTCCACACCTAGTTTAATGCCTAGTAAATCAAGTTTTAAATTTTAGAGAAATGAAGTATCAAAACTTTAGTTCTGTTGACCCTGTAATTAAGTTTTACTTTTCAATTTAAAAAAGGCCTTGTTTATTTTGAACTTTCACCTTCTGATTTAAATTGTTTCAAAGGGTAGAAGGAAACAATGTTTGTTACTGTTTATCAGATAAAAGAAATCGTTTAAGGTGAGAGGGGAAGCAAAATTTACAAGGATTTAAATAAATCAAGGGGCCGCATAATGAGAGATTTTTTCTCATTATATCATTAACTAAAAGTTACTTTCCTGAACGCTGAAGAGGCATTAATACACACTCTATCCTTAAGCAGTTTCAATCTTTACCTGCTCGGAATAGACACCATCTATTCAAAACTGAAAATAAACAGCGGTCTAATGCCTCAGCCTGTATCATTTCACTGAAATGGGAATCATTTCACGAAATGGGCTTTAGAAAGGTCAACCCACTGATTGAGCAAATAACCAAGGCCACCAGTTATACTGGACTCTGGAGCACTGGGCAGAAATATCAACCCCTGCGTGCCGGTCGCCCACTGTTCTCTCAGTGACGGCTGTGCGCGGGGAGAGGGCCGTACAGCCGGCTCCCGGTGCAGAGACGGCCTGGTGCTCGGCCACTGACCCGCATACAGAAGCTCTTCCCTGCCAAGGCATCGCCCATTTATGACAGTGGAATTGTCACCAGCTTGGTCCAACGTACACCATCATTAAGCAATGACAAGCACAGCTCTCAAGAAAACAAGATTTTTGTTAGCAGCTGCCTCAAAGACAATCTAAGCCTTTCTTTTCTTAATTCAAAAGTGGAGGCGGGCAGTGAAGAGACTGCAAGCCCTCCCTTGAATAAGAAGCGCTGTCGTTGCAGAAAAAGACTGAACCATTTAAAAATTGTACACTGATCCTATCACACACATTAAAACAGAATGTTCTAGTTGAAATAAGAGACTTCAGTGAAAGAAAGCCTCAGATTTCTGGGGTGTACTAATGTAGAAATTATGCCAGCATTTCAACAGGTGCAAATGAGCTTTCACAATAACCTAACTTAAGTACCCTGGACAAATGGATACACTAGAGTGGAGAGTGGCACTAAAGGTTGAGAACAGCAAGACAATTACGCAGAACACAAAGCGGGAACAATAGTCAAGGTGTTTTATCACAACAGTGCTATCTTTTCACTGACCCAAAAGATTCACAAGCTTTTTCAAACTTTGTCAGTAATAATTTAGCTTTTGTTGCAGGAAATTTGGACATGTAGCTCTCAATGTTAAAATCATGCACACCCTAAACCCTGTTCTAAGTTCACAGCTGCAGTGACTACAAGCTCCCTATAAGAGCCATACTCCACCTGAACCCACCAGGAATCTGTTGCTCCCTAAACTGATGACAAGAAGATAAAGAACAGAGATCCCGGGCCAGTGCTAAGATTCTGCTTCTTGCTACATGGGCTTCACCGGAGTGGGGGGAATCCCATTGGCCCATGAAAACTTCAAAAACAATGATTACTGCTTCTTTTCTCTAATATTGTTAATAGTATATAGTTCAGCAATATTATAAGGTAGATCAATTTCTAGGGCCTGGCCTAGAAGCCTAGTCACTAGTAATAATTCAACAGGCAAATACATTCTAGAATGTCAAGAACCAATTCAGAAAGGTTGGCCATGAGTTGCTTACAAGTATTCTATATATTACTGTGAAAACGCAACACCTCTGATAGCCTTAAATTAGAAAACATTGGTTCGTATACTCTCCACAGCTTCAGAGAGGCAGGTCAGCCTTTTCTGTGATGTGTGCCTCATTGAGGGCAGACACCGCTAATTCATATATCAGAACTATGAATTTCTATACTGAATGCTGTCGATTCAAAAGGAAATCACAACTTCAAAGTACCTTCTGGAATCTGGCAACTTCAAATACAAAATAACCCTCTTTATGAAAAATAGGTTATATTTTTTACGGTATTAGGATCTTACATGACAGAAACATGACCCCGTGTTACCAAAGCATTCTATCCAAAGATCTTAATATTGTCCCATGATGTTTTACTTTCCTTATTTTAACTAACAGACCGAAAGCATAAAATGATGAATCGACTCGCAATGGCTGAGCAACCAGCCCCCAGCCCGTGCAGGACCCAAGTGGTCCCTCCCTAAGAGAACCCTTCTGCCACCAGGGCCTGGCTGCATATGGCAGTGTTAGTGAACAGCAAGCGGAAAGCTCAGACGAGGCCTTTGCTATTCTAGAAAATATCCTCTAGTTGATGAATTAGGAAGCTCTAGGCTACTGACCTGCCCATCCTGAACACTGATCATACAAGACAAAAACTAATGAAAAATGTACACAATTAAGGGAAAAAACTGCCAGCATACAACAGTCAATGTCTTTTAATGCACCTCATTATTTTCATGGCACATGTTTTCCTTATAAAACGTATAAGCAAAGTAAATGCTGGGGAAAAACTAATTTGGCTTACATCCTGCTGAATAATTTTTGTTTAGCTCGAAACACTACCTTCATCGTAAGACAATGTTTTCTCATTATCATCTCCATTTGAGGTATATCTTTCCAAAAATCATTTTCTAACTCAAGAGATTCGCATAATAAAAGTGGCTATTATAACAGGTATAAGGAAACTTTTTAAAATCAAGCACCACAAACAGAAAAATCAACCAAGAACTCTGTAAGCTAGAAACAACTTGATGGGATGGGGAGAAAGTTTTCTAGTGTTAAGGAATATAACCTCAAATAAAAATTAAATGTAACTTTTTAAAAAACACTGCATTTCTAAAGTAAAGGCTGAATTTTGAGGGAAGATAAATCTGAATGAGGAGGAAAGGGGGAATGACAGCAGAGGCAGAACAGATACATAAACATCCGAAACACTAAAGAGATGGGAAGCCTGAAGAGTTATGGGGTGGGGGCGCCCCTAACTCTTCAATGGACACCCACCCACCCCAGCTTCTACTGAGCCCCTTGGCTGGGGGTAGAGGAAACAGACTCCATCCAACACACACTGACTCACTCATGTGGCCAAGGGTGGGGGAGGAACGGGGGAGGGCTAGCTCATCACTGTGTGTCTGCTCTGAAAGTCCCCTTGGCTGGAACTTAGACAAGGTGATTCAAGGTTCACCTATAATTCACCTTCCCAAGTAGAGAGGGAATTTAGAGGATGGAGACAGTGTTTCCCATTTCTGGTTTCATCTCCAGCAGTAACACACTGTATGGTTAACTACTTTCAAAAAGTAGTTAAAAAGGCCCCATGTTATTACCTTTTTCTCATCATAATCACTTGTGAAAGAATGTGGATATAAAACTAGAAACCCCTCTAAGCCTGGCAGATAACACTTAATATTCTTCCTGTGAGGATTCCCCAAAGGAAACAGTGTATCACCTTTGATAATATTTTTAATCATAAAAATTGACAAGACTTCAAATTTATTTAAGATTGTCTCCTATGTGTTTTATGTTTAACGATTTTTCTTTGGAGAAATATGCAAGTTGATAAAAGATAAGGATGTAGCATATCTTTATTATATAAATGATACATATATTCACATTCTAAGGACACATTAATATAATGGAGAAAGGAACTTCTTATCAGTCAGCTGAAAACATCAAATAGCATATGGATAAGACTCCAGGAGTTAAGACCAGACTGCTTGGATTCCAAAGTTGCCTCTGCTATTTAGGAGCTGTGTGGCCTTGGATAAGTCACTTAGCTTCTCTGTACCTCAGTTTCCACATCCGTAAAACACTATGTCCACCTTGTAGTCTGTAGTGAGGATTAGAGTTAACACAAGTCAAGGTTTAAACCAATGCCTGGCACGTGCTAAGTACCATAAATGACCATGGTAGTGCTGGTGGTGGTGATTTAGAATGCTGTTGAAATAATATAATTTACTTTTAATTGTAGTAAAAACTAGAGCAGTCAAATATATTGAATTGCTACCAAAAAATGTTACAAGCTTCCCATGAAATATAAGCTGTCCCACGTTTGGCACTGATGGGCTGCACTGCTGATATAACTGGCATATCTGAACGTGTAAAACTAGAAGCAAACTATAGACAGTGTCTAGGGTAAGGGTGAAGAAACAGAAACCTAAAGTGAGCAAATGCATATCTGAGTTGTTACTGCTTTGCCTTCTTCAAATTGTGCTATTCAGAAAGAAATTAAATGTAAAGAATGCTAAAATCAGAGATTTAGGGCTGGAAATTTCTCTATGTCCACAACAATATGAAATATCAGCCTATAATGGGAATCGAATTTCAATTAAATAAAAGTTCTAAAAACTTTTTTAAAGTACATAATCTTAAGTAGGGACCAGCAGCTGATTCTATTGTATCTTCTCCTTCCCAGTCTGCTCCTGTGGCACCTGATAAAGAAAATCCTCATCGAGTACCTGGTTTTACGATGTACAGATTTTATGATCATACTAAACAATTACTAAAAGATTACAAATCTTCTGCCTACTCCATAATTTCCACCTGGTTTCCCTAAATCGGTATCATTTAATTCCCTATTATAAGGCAAATTTATGATGTTCAAAGGATAATTACACATTGGATTTGAATATGTATGAGACAGCCCCACCCAGCCCCAAAGGCCTACATTTGAAGTTAAAATGAAAGAAAGGTTATTTGGAAAATATTATTCTTTGAATAAAACCCTCAACTGATTTAGGGATCTTTACCAAAAATAAACTCAGTAGGAAAAAAAAAACACCTTAATTTTGACACTGATAAATAAAAAGAATCAAAGTAGAATTTTCATATCTTTCAATGTATTAAAATGCGTTGCTATTTCCCTGAAAAAAAAAAAACTATTTTAATCACTCAGACACTCTAGGGACCCAAGAGCTACTCTTAAAAGCTTCTGTTTCACAATGCATGAGAAAATAATATACATTTCAAGCCTTTACCATATTATAATCCAAAATGGGTTTTGCTAACAGCTTTAATGAAGAAATCCCATCTTGATTATAGAAACAAAAAAGAAAATAGGGAAATCCAAGTTTAATATCCTTTCAAATGCAAACCAATTGGTAGCTTTGCAGAATTTTGTCAGATATTGGTAATTGGGGTCTTGTTTTGTATGATTTAGAACTTTTTGCCTTCCGTGAAATAAAAGTGGTTTTCTCTCATGTCTGAGAGTGTATGAAAAGCCCCCTCCCCCAGGGAAGGCATGCAGCCGCCTCCTGTATGTCAGAAGCATGCAGCAGACAAGCCAAGCCCACTCACTGCAGCTGAAAGGGTTTTGGAAAATGTCTGGCTAGTTAACAGATGCTTGGCTTGGGTTTCCTCCCAAATATGTTTTTAATGCTGATAATGCTTAAATGCAACTGTTCACAGCAAGGGAAAGAGTGAGGGGAATGACAATCTGCTGTTATGTAAAAGGGTAGTGGGGGGCGTGTAGCCTCAGGATAACAGCTTAGCTAAAATTTTACAGTGATTTTTACATCCAAAATACATCAGTCCTTCCCAATCTTCTTGTCATAAGAACTCTTTTTTCTTCATTTATCCCTACTGCAAAGCTCATGATTTGAGCC